CCGTCTCCGCCTGCTCCCAGTGAGCCGACGAGCTCGGCACCACACTCAAGAGTGGTGCACGCGCCAGGGTCGTCGACGCCGCCGTCGCCGAGCCCGAGTCCCAGTTGTCCGACAAGATGACTCGGTCCTGCGCCCGGGAAGGCATAGGGACGCGACCCCACGTCGCATCCCCGGATGTAGACGAGCTTCTGCTCGTAGATCCACATGTCGCGTGCTCAGAAATGAGCCGCGACTCAAAATATACAATTATCGCGCCGGACGACGTGCCCGACGCGGCCAGCATCGAGCTCGACGCTCAATGCGTCGAGCGTCATGCGCACGCGCCGAGAGCGAGCACTCCCAGCGGTAGCGCCGGAAGTACTCCTCTCAATGCTAACCGCCACTTCGACCTCCACACTGGCAGCCACCGCCCGCGTGCAACCGCGTTCCAACCCGGTTCGCACTTCCCAACGGAAGTGCGAGCCGCGCTCTGTCCTTGGACAGCTGAACCCTTCGCGGTTCAGCTGAAGGATCGACCGGTCAGTACCGACCGCCACCTCGCGGTCGGCAACCCCTCCGACGACCTGGCACCTCGCGGTACAAGACCGCCAGATCCTTACTCTCCGATCCTTTCCCTCCGCCCTCGCGCCTCGCATCTCGACTCAGGAGGCTCTCCTCTCGAGTCTCATGACTCTGGCGACACCCGTCGCGGCTCTGGCGACACACAGCCCAGCCGCACGATCCAGGACTCACACGACCCGCGTGCAAGTCCAGCACCAGGCAACCAGGCTGCGCGAACCACGGGAAACGCGGAGCGAGGAGAATGCGAGGAAATCAGGAAAAGGAAGGAGGGGGAAGGGTGCGGGGCGAGCCTGAAAGACGAGCAGAGAGGCTCAATAAACGCAGGTACGCCCTTGGTGGACGTATCCCACTCGCCACCGCCTCCTTCTCCAATGCCCACGCTGGCACATGTATCGACGACCACACAGGTCGTCGTATGTATAGCAGGCCAGGAAGGCGGCACTGTCGTGCTGCGGCACGACCTGACCGTCGTGCCCATTGGTCTGCAAGGTAGCACTATTGCGATATGGGACGACCTCGCGGTCGTACCGTACATTCCGCGAGGCGACACAGCGGACGCGCCGCAATACACGTCCGACGTGCCCCATCCAGCATTCACCAGCTGTCGCGTAGCGAGATCGAAGCTCGAGGGTACGCCCATACTGGACGTACCCAATTCTCCACCGGTCCTCTCGCTCGTACCCAAGCCAGTGTGCACTTCGACGAACGAGAAGTCTGTCGTGCGCACTACTGGCCACAGGGACGGCCTGTACGCGCTGCGGGACGACCTAAGGGTCGTGCCCTCCCTTTCTCGAGGCAGTATGCCTGTGATACGGGACGACCTCGCGGTCGTACCGGCCAGTCCGCAAGGCGACACAGTGGACACGCAAAACTGCTCGTCCAAGGTGACTGGTGTCTCCACGAACACGCCTGGAGCTGCAGCAACAGACGGAATGTCTGTGGTACGCACGGGCGGCCACGATGATCGCGCGAGAGCGATACGGGACGACCTCGCGGTCGTACCGTTCACTTCGCAAGGCGATACGGCGGACGCGGCGCAAAGCACGCCCGACGTGTTCCACCCAATATTCGCCAGTCGTCGCGTAGCGAGTACGCCGAACTGTTCGCTCGACGTGCAAGCTACCGACCAGCAGCAAGACTTGATGCTCGAGGGTACGTCCATACTGGACGTACCCAATTCTCCGCCGGTCCTCTCCCTAGTACCCAAGCCAGTGCGCACTTCGACGAACGAGAAGTTTGTCGAGCGCGCTACTGGCCATGGAGACGGCATCTACGCGTTGCGGGACGACCTAAGGGTCGTACCCTCCGTTTCTCAAGACAGTATGCCTGTGATACGGGACGACCGCGAGGTCGTACCGTCCACTTCGCAGTGCAACGCGCTGGACTTGCAGTACCGCATGTCCGACGTGTACCTTGAGACCGTCACGGTCACCATCCATCGCGTAGCGGCCTCAGAGCTCGAAGATACACCCATGCTGGACGTATCCAACTCCCCGCATGCTCTATTGACAGCGCCCTGGTGTACCAACGACTGCGAAGTCGTATCTGCTGTTCCGCCTAGCGATGCGGCTGACGTGCCATGTCGCACGTCCGACGTACCCTGTTCATCCACGAGCAGCGGCAACATAGTGGAAGGCACGCCCTTAAGGGACGTACCCACCTCACCAACATCCGCATCGGCGAACGCGGAGCTCATTGGAAGCTCTGTGGGCCATGACGATCGCACGAAAAAGATACGGGACGACCTGATGGTCGTTCCCTCCGACTTTCAAGGCAATACGTTTGTGATACGGGACGACCTCGCGGTCGTACCGTCTGTTCTGCAAGGCGACATGACGGACGAGCAGCATTGCTCATCCGACATGTCCCAGTCATCTGTACACACTACCGGTGAGTACAGAATGTCGAGAAGGAACAGTACGCCCTCGGTGGACGTACTTACCTCGACATCTGCCATGCCCACGTTAGTGTGCGTAACGGCGAATGTAGAACCTGTCGTGCGCAATGCCCGCGGCTCGGAGGGCCACCGTCTCTTCATCTCCGCCTTCATGATCAATTGTGATCATGGAGATGACATCACATTCACATTTCGGGACGACCTTCAGGTCGTACCGGGACCCGTCATTCGCCAAAGCGAAGTCGGGTACGCACAGCGCTCTGAGCAGCCCGAGATAGCTGTCGGGTCTGTTCAATGCCACCTGGAGGCACCATCCCAAGGTGCCCCGGCCCAAGCGACGAAGCCAGACATCACCCCGAAGGATGATGCATGCGCCGAGCTCGAAGACACGTCCGTCATCGAGCTCGCATCCGAGCTGAACGAGTGGCGCGTCGAGTCGACGCATCTCCGCACTCGGGAGGGCATAGGCACACAGTACCATAATAGTACTGTATACCGCGGGGATGAACCCGTACGTGTAGATACACCAGTCACGCGTTCAGAGATGAGCCGCGACACAAGAAATGTATTGTTATTATCGGACGACGTGCCCGCCACGACGAGCAGCCTGCTCGACGCGACGCGCGACGCGCTCAACGCTACAGGCGTTGGGTGTCACGAGCCCGCGGCGAGCGACCCGAGCGCTAGCGCCTACCGCACTACGCTTGACCGCCACCACCGACCCCCCGTTTTCGACCCCCTCCACTCTCTGGGCAGCCACCTAGGGCGCCCGTCCGGCGAACCAGACGCGCGCGCCACCCCAACGCGAGTGCGAACTCGCGTTCGCAACAGGCTGGTTGACTTGCCGCCAGCCCAGTCAGTGGTAACCGACGACCTGGTACCTCACGGTACCAGATCGCCACTTCCTCCCTCTCTGGCTCCTCACCTCACCCCTCTCGGATCGCGCCTTGACTCTGGCGACCGCTACCGCGGCTCTGGCGACACGAAGCCCAGCCGCGCGACCCAGGACTTGAACACCGCGCGTTCAAGCCCAGCGCCGAGCCGCAAGATCGAGCGGACCACGAGGAACGCGGATAGTGGAGGTTGCGAGGAGATCCCGAAGGAACGAGAAGGGCGCGAGGAAGGCACGAAGGGAGAGAGGGAGGAAGGGTGCAGGGCGAGTAGGGAAAGCGAGCAGGAAGGCTCGCAATTCGCAGGTACGCCCTTACTGAACGTACCCGACTCACCTCCGCCTGCGCCAGTACCCCCGCCAGCGTACGTATCGACGAACACGGAGTTCGTCGGGCGTACCGCTGGCCACGAGACCAGGACCACAGCATTAGGGGACGACCCGCGGGTCGTACCCTTGTCTGCGCACAACAGTACGACGGATGCGCAGCACCACACGTCCGACGTACCCCACTCTCCACTGCCTCCTTCTCCGATGCCCGCGCGAACAGGCGTATCGACGAACGCGAAGATCGTCGTACGTCCTGTTGGCCACGCACATCGCATGCACAGGCCCTGGTACAACCTACAGGCTGTACCGGGCAGTACGCACGGCTACACGGCGGACGCGCAGAACCACACGCCCGACGTACCCTGCGCCTCCATGGACACTCCCAGAGCTGCAGCAACAAACGGAACGTTCGTTGTACGCACGGGGGGCCACGAGGATCGCGCGGAGGCGACGCGGGACGACCTAATGGTCGTACTCTCGGCCCCGCGAGGCGGCACACCTGTGCTACGGGACGACCTCACGGTCGTACCACTCATCTCGCAATGCGACACGGCAGACGCGCAGTACTGCACGTCCGACGTGCCCCACCTTTCCACGACTGGGCGCCGAGTAGCGGATACGCCCCAGATGAACGTATCCCTCTCGATGCCGCTTCCATTTGACGTGCCCGCGCTAGCAAGCGTGACGACGAACGTGAAGTTCGTCGGACGTGTTGCTGGTCAGGAAGACTACACGATCGCGCTCCGGGACGACCGCGAGGTCGTACCGTTCAACTCGCAAGGCAACACGGCGGACGAGCAACACTGCATGTCCGTCGTGTCCCATCACTATACGACCGACTGTCGAGTGATGGGTACGGCGTGCATCCTGCCCGACGCACACGCTACCAATCAGCACGATGGGTCGACAAGTGAAGGTACATCCATGAGGAATGTACCCACTTCGACACATGCCATGTCCGTGCCCACGTCCACACCAGTGAGTGTGATGACGAACAGGGAGCCCGTCGAGAGCAATGCCTGCGACTCGTCGGGCTACCGTCTCTTCATCTCTGCTTCAATGATCGCGTGTGACCATGAAGACGGCACTTCAGCCCCCAGGTACGACTGCGAAGTCGTACCGGATGTCCCACGGGATAGCACGTCTGTGCTACAGGATGACCTCGCGGTCGTACTTTACAATTCGCAAGGATGCACGATGGACTTGCAGCGATGCATGACCATTGTGCCCCAGCTCACCTCGACTGCCACTAGTGCAGCGGGTACGTCTAGCTCATTGCTCGACGTACAGGGGGATAACAATCACCATTCCCCGTCCATCGCTGATCGCTTGTCGGACAGTAGCATCACGCTAGCATCGGCGTCCCAAGACGGATTGCACTTCCGTGAGGAAGTGCAGGTCTCCGGCGGCTTCGACACAGCTGAAACCCCTGTGGCTCAGTTGGCAAGCCTCAACCGCCACCTCGACTCCTCAGCCAACACTCTCTCCGTGACCCCGGCGCCCCGACGAGCGCGCAGCCCGACGATCGCGTATCTCCGAGCGACACGCGAGCTCGAGATTGCGGCCCGACTGCTGCACTACGGACAGTGCAGCGGCCGGCGATTACAGACCCCAACCGACTAGAACGGCCTCCCGACCGTCAACCCGGCGAGAACTTCACAGTTCTCGCCGACGGCTCTTTCTAGGGACCTCCACCCAACTTCATACCGACCTCTCCGCGGCCCCCGATATCGCCGGCGACTACGACAGGCACCACGGGTCTCAGATCGCGTACGAACTCTGGAGACCGTGTGTAGGACGGAAGGGTCAGGACGGGGTCAAGGGAGACGTGGGCGATGGTACGGGAGCCAGAGAGAGAGTCGAGGAGGGTCGTGCAGAAGGAGGAGAGGGGGAAGGGCACGGTGTTGATGAAGAAGACGAGCCACCATGCTCGGAAAGCAAAGACGAACCGGAGGACCAGTACGTCGTCATACAGGACGACGCACTCGAGACCCGGACACAGGCGACCGTCGCACCGAGGTGCACCGTGTGGTGTGCGGTCAAGTACCTCAGGGTACTTGACACCCTTGATGGCAAAGACCTATGCGGATGCAAGGCCGAACTCGACGTAGTCATGTCGAGTACAGCAAGCGAGCGGGCAGGCTCCAAGACCGACAGTACGCCCTCACCGGACGTACTCACGTCGCCGCCGTCTTTCGTGCCAGGACTCGTACTAGTAAGGCCGTATCGACGAACAGTGTGTTCGTCGTGCGCACCGCTAATTACGAGGACCGCACGTATATTCCTGTGACAATCACCGCGTCTTGCACAGAGAGTACGTCCAGCCTGAACTCGAGGTTCGACGTCCCACCCGCCGAGGACTCGGCATGGAGACCTGAGACTGGCCGTATGTCCCGCTGCACTACAGCCGTTGTTGCCCGCTTCGTCGCCACCGTCTTCCGCTGTCGCCACTGCCGCAACACTGTACAACGACCTCATTACCCGCTATCGACATCACGTCCCGCCGTTGCTACTACCACCACTACCGACACTGCCACCATTGTCCGTCCCGTCGCCATTGTCATCCCATCGACATTGTCATCCCAGCCATTGTCGTGCTGGCCACTGTCGCTCCCGCCACTGTGTTCCGCTCTGGCCACCACAACACTGCGCAATGCAACGAGCCCATTTGTCACGTCCCGGTTTGCATAACTCCATCGAGTTATGCATGACAATGGCGGGCGGCCATACTGCTCACTGACGCGAACTTGCGAGTCGTTGTCTACAGTACGGCGCCACCTTTGTTTTGCTGGTCGCTACCACCAAGGTGTTGTTGCGTGTTTTATTCCTTTTTTTTCCTCCTTCCTTTTAGTTTCTCTGGTTATCTCTGGGACCCGTGGTCGTGTCCAGTGGGGGAGGGTGTAACGGATATTCCCGTTACAGTATATCTTATCTCATATGATTGTTCTTGTTTGTTCGAGGGCTCGTATGGCGCGCCAGCACACCTACGAGACCTCAGTCCTTTACCATCCTCATCGCCCCATGTATGCTACGTGTAGACAGTCCCTCTGAATAGAGACTGGGTACAGCGCATACCGGGCCCGAGGATTAAGGGACACTACAGTCATTAACCGTCACCCAAGCAGTCAATCATGTTTTCCCCCCAACAAACAGGTTCAAACCACGCTGCCAGACGAGTACCGCGTGCTGAGTATGGATGCTCAGGTATTGCCTGGGAATGCGCACTCAATTGTGCATCCGTTCCTCTCCCTCGTCATCAACTTGAATGTCGCAACCATGGCCCACAGGGATCGTAAGGACAAGTCCCTCTGCGTTGTCCTCGCCGTCGGCGACTTTGAAGGCGGGGACCTATGCCTCTACGAGGCCGGCTTGGTTCTTCCGCTCCGTAACGGCGATTTCACTGCTTTTCCTTCGTATCGTTTGACTCACTATAACTTACATTTCACTGGTCGTCGCGCGTCAATTGTTCTGCACACGGACAAGGAGATTGAGAAGTGGACTGACGGAGGGCGAAATGGCTGGGAAGGTAATGCACATTTCATGTAGTACTACGAGTTGTATTCTGCTTAATCCATATGCGTTCCACCCTAAATGAGTTTCTGACACCCGCGATCAACCGTTGATAGGGTGAGAAATGCCGGAGTTCGATACCATGTGCGCTTCTGTGCGCTTGCGGCGGACTCGGAGTCTCAAGGTTCACTTATCGGTGCGGCCGCCGACTCTTCGTTGTCACGTCTCTCACTATGTCGCCGCGCGATACTAGGTCGAAAGCCGCAGCAGCAGCGAAGGCGAAGGTTGGTGGGGGGAGCGCAAAGCCCCCCGTCAAGTCGACTCGCGGTAAGGCCAAATCGGCAGCCAGCGCCCGTGGTCCATCGGGCAGCATACAAGATGATGTGAAGGCGGCCCCCGACATGAAGGAAGTGCTGAGAGGGAAGTATCCAAACCTCTCAAACAAGAAGCTCGACGAGATGGTTCGCAAACTCGACACCGTCGCGGAGAAGGATGGAGTCTCTGAGAAGGATCGTCGACAAAGTACGTAGTATCGTGATTCACACTGTGTATCAGCATACTACTAGCGCATTGTGCCACAGAGATCAAGGACGACAACGACGCCTTAGTCGCCAAGGAAAAGGCGTCGGATACAGAGAAGGAGTTGGAGGATGACGAAGGAGAGCTGGTCACATCGGCGAGCAAGGGCAAGAAGAAAGCGAACGGTGAGTAAACGCACAACTAGTGAGTGGCGAGCTCATTGTGCGTTAGATCCATCGCCGCCTAGGCCCAAGCCTCGCCCACGCAAGAGGAAGGCGACTGAGACCCCCGAGAAGGAGGCGAGCGATGACGAGGCGAGCGTGGAGCAGCCCGAGAAGAAGAAGGCGAAGACCCAGCTGGCAAGTAAGCCAGCTGGTCAGGACGCATCGGCAGCCGACGCCGCGTCGACGAGCGCAAGAGGAGGTCAGACGTCTGGTGAGCGTCATGTTCTTCGGAGCATACGGTCCTGTTTTGACGCATACCTCGCAGAGGTGTCGCCTGGACGCAAGCGTGTTGTCATACCGGAGGTGGTCATCCAGTCCTCGCCCCCGGTGTCGCGCTCGAAGGCGCCCAGGCAGGAGGAGGACCTGGCTGCATCCCTTGGTAAGTCGCTCAAAGAGTCGCGTATTTTACTCATTCGACTCGGAAGCAGGCTCAGGTACGAAATCAGCCAAGCAGACGCAGGGCGTTGCGAAGCCTCCGGAGAAGAAGACTTTCCTGCGTCTGGAGGACAGTGACGAGGAGAATGAGGACGATGACGAGGAGGCGGGTGAGGGTGACGAGGACGAGGTCGAGGACGAGGACGAGGAAGGTTCTGGACAGGGCGGTGAGCCACTGGTGTGTCTTACAACTCACGCTGATGACTGACATCTGTGACAGCAGGTTCGCCATCCAGAGCAGGAAAGGGTGCAGCAAGGCGTACTCGTCGCGTCAAGATGGAGTCGATGTCCCCCATCCACGTCCCGGACGACTCTGACGACGATGGCAGCGAGTACAAGGTGTCAAGTCACGACCGAGAGGAGGACGTTGACGAGCTTGATGGCGACGTGGACATGGATGACGAGGTGAGACTGTGGCTTGGAAGGCGGCGTTTGACTGACGTTTGGCCTAGATCGTCGTCAAGGTCAAGGACAAGCCTCAGCAGAAGAAGAAAGAGAAAGTCCAGAGCAAGGGCAAGCGCAAGGTCGGCCGGCCTAAGAAGGTCATCGACGTCGACAACAACGTGCTCGAGACGATGACGCAGGAGCCTTTGAAGAGCTTCCTGCACCACGCCCAGCAGGAGTTCCGCGTGTACCTCAGCTTGGAGAACGCGTGGCCTCGAGTCATGAAGGACGGTCGTATGGAGAAGACCGAGAAGCCCGTGGAGATCATGAAGATGCTCATGGAGAAGCACGAGAGGTACAAGACCGAAAAGTTCTTGACCGCGTACAACAGGGCGTGGGCGGATACTACAGTGACTCGCGGGAGGATGATCCACTATGTGAGTCGTCACTTGATGATGTCTCAGCGGTGACATGAGCATCGAGCAAATTGTCAGGTGGCGAAGGTGTCATCTCAACTTCGTCAGGAAGTCAAGCAGAAGGCAAAGCGCGTCGTCGAGAAGAACTTCCTCGCGTTCAAGGTGCCGCAACACGGCTCTGACGGCAAGAAGCTCAGCAGTGCTGCGTACAACGAGAAGACGGCGAGTCACCTCGAGGCTCTCGTGAAGTTCTTGAAGCAGGACTTCGCGTTCCATCACGGCAACTTGGAGATGCCAGATCCGATGGTGGATCCCTCGGTGCGTGTGCGTGCCAATGTCTAGGTACAGCTTACTGATATGTATTAGCTGTGGGTGGCCAACCTGGACGCTCCCTTCCACAACGAGGCTGTGGCTGAAGTCGCAGCTTGTCAGTGGTGGTCTGGAGCTCATCGGGAGGCCATGCGGCCTGAGAACCACGCGCGGTTCGACATCAACAAGCAGCCCCTGTCGAGCAACATGATAGCTCTGGTCTGCTCTGCGGTGAGTACGATACCCTAGGTACTGAAGCCTCTATTCAAGTCATTGTGCATTAGATCATCGTTGCGCTGGACGAGGCCGTCAAGGTGAACGTCACTGTCAGTTTCGACAAGAAGACGTACGCCACCGAGTAAGGAATATTATTTGTTTATAGCGCCGGCCTACATCAGGAAAAACCGATTTGTCTTGAGAGGCTTTTAAGACACATCAAGGCGAAGAAGGCAGAAAGACAAGTCATTCTTTTGAATGCCTTGTCAGAGACTTGAAAGCTGCTCAAGTGGCTTGCATGACTTAAGACTGAGACCAAAAGTATGCCTGTCACGCTGCTCAGATGCTGCACGCATTTGGCTTATTTACCTTGGGTCAAGTCTCTCAAGCCGTATATACACAATGTCTTTATAACTCACACTCAAGTAGCCTTTACTTTGTGGCTTTCTATTAGGTACACAATTTGTTCAAGCAATGCTTATTTGTTTCCACCAATACGGGTACAGCATCGCAATATATATATTCATGCACGCTCGTACAGTTGGTACAACAATCGACATTTTACGTACAGCAAAACACAACAGGCCGGAGAGCAACGTACCACTAATAGTACAGACATACAGCAATGATAACACGACAACAAATCGAAAGAAGCAGTTACCTCCAAGGATGTGGGTATAGTAGATGATGTTAGAGATGAGTGATCTGAAAATCCGTTCAGAGATCTGTTTCAGCAATAAAATTGACTCTCATACCCTTGGAGTAGAGACGGCAGCGAGCAGCGGCGTTCAGGCGGGGACGGTGTCTGCGTTGTGAATGGGTTCGTCACCTGGGTTGCCACATCAGCTGTAGGGGCCGGAGAGAGACACGAGGTGTGTACCTACCCTCACGTTCGTCCGCGTCGACTTCTTCCTCAGCGTCGCCGGCCCTCTTGCTCGAGGACAATGTTGGCGCGTCGGCATTCGTAGGCTCTGTACAGATTCAGGTCAGTGATTGCCATACTACAACGGTCTTGTCTGCTTACCTTTTCTCCCTTTTGACGACGAGGGTTTGCCGCTAGACGAGGGCTTCGGAGCAGTACTCGACGACGTAGTAGGCTTGCTGCTAGATGAGGGCTTCGCCGCGGTACTGGATGCCACCCCACCTGGATTCGATGTTGACTGGGCGGGTGCGTCGAGCACCATGTCTTGAAGCTTCGTCCACTTCACGAACTCCTCCCCGTCGTCCTTGTCGGAATCTTCCTCATCGTCGCCCTCAACTCGGGAGCTACCAGAAACATAATCAGTAACTATGTTGTATGTGTGAAACGAACACTTACCTGATACGAATCCACAACTGCTTCTTCATGTCGGCGTAGTAGTCCGGCGCGTTCTTCTTCGTAGCTTCGAGTATGGACATGAGATCGTCCCACCTAGTGAAAGTTCAGTGACAATGTCACGTAAAGGTACGCAGAACAACTGACTTCGGTGCGAATTGCTTGTTCGTGAACGCTACTGGGTTCCCGAACGCTATCTCGCTCAACGCCGCTTCGATCTGAAGGAATACATCAAAACGAGATGCTGTGCGATACGTCCCAGACTCACCGAGTTGCAGGCCAAAGCAATGAGGTTATCGGGGACCTTGCTGAAGCGGTCAACGGGTATGTTCGCGCCATGACCCTGGAACCACTGCTGCACGATGATCTCCGAGATTGCGGGATGCCTGAACAGAAGCTCTGACTTGACAGAGCATTTCTAATCACAAGATTAGCAGATATCGTGATGCAACAACGCACCACCAACACGTCTAGCTAGACTGTACGTACCTCCTTGTCCAGCTTATCCTTGGCGTTCCAGACGATCTTCATGTCACCGAACACAAAGTTCGGGATCTCGCGCTTGCCGCCCTTGACCTTCATCGGGTGAGTTTTGAGGAGCCACTGGGCGAGCAATACACGTTGCTGGACCGTCAGGTTGCTCAACCCATACGAGTGTTCGACCACGCTCTTGCCTTTCCTCTTTACCTCGTTCCGGAACTGAGCTGCCACGTTCCAGACCTGCTGAGAATGAGGCTAGTCATAAAGTTCACCGGTGTCCGTCACTCACCACTGTGTGGACGTTGCTCCTCTTCGTGTCTCCCTCCGTTCCCTGGTCGTTCTGCAAGTCGTCGTATGCAATCCGCATACTCTTCACCCTTTTACCGTCCTTGTCGCGCATGTCACGAGCATCCTTCAGGGCATCGGCGACGAGCTGCATGTTGTCCGGCAGTCGGGAACTGGCCAAGGCTTTGTAGCCGGTCCATGCGGTCTTGAGTGCCAGACGAAGGCGGAGGAAGTTCTGTGCAGCACCGACGATCGGACGGACGTTGATGGGCAGATTGGAGGCCTTGACGCGCACACGGGCTGCTACTGAGCCCTTGCCTCTGGGCTTCTTCTTCACTCCCTTCTGAGCGATCTCCTACATACTGCGTCAGTAGTACCGCACCACATCAAATGCAAGCAATGCTTACAATGACGTCGTCTGAGTCGGACGCATGATTTGAGTCGGACGAGTCGTCCCCGCTCGCGCCCTTCACCCGGAACCCCAAGCTACTCTCATTGTCAGAAGATTGGAGCTCATCGACCTTGTCGTCGTCTTGCTCTTCATCAGAACTGGAGACGACCACCTTGCTCTTCGCTGCCTTCTTACTCTGTGGACGGGTCTGACGAACACGTTAAGCGGTCAAGTTTGCAGAACCTACGATACTCACCTTGTCTACGCTGATCTCCACGTAGGCCTTCTTCCCGCCGCGCACATCCTTCCTCTTCTCGCTCTGCTTATCCGTCTCCCCTCGCCTCGTCCTATCCTCGTCTTCCGATCCCGAGCGAACGGACGCATGTTCCTCTTCATGATCCTCCGACCGCGGGCTCTCAACTACCACCGACTTCTTGGACGGAGGCTTCTCTTTAGCCTTGCCCTTCGCTAGAGCGTACAAAAGCACATTAGCCGTGATCTGAAGAGGTAGTTTACAGTGTAACTTACCGCCGAGAGTCTGTGCAATACGCTGCTCCGCCTCAGTCAACGACGTGTTTCCCTTCCCTGAGTCCTGCTCGGCCTTCTTGTACCGCCCGTAAGCTGGCTTTGGTTTAGCTCGATTGATACATCAGTGTTGGACCGTCTGAACTAATGAATTTGCACGTACGCCGAGCAGGGGGAGAAGGGCTCTCCATTCGTATGTCCCGCTCGCTACCGCCTTCTGGCTCGCTTCCTTCATCGCCCCCACCCTCGCCATCGGAACCCGCATCGCCACCATCGCCACCGCCCTCGCCATCGGAATCCGTAGTGCGTCTTGCTTTCTTACGGGACGGCTCCTCACCTTCAGCGTCTGATCCTTGAACTTCCTCGCGAGTCATAGTCGCCGCCCTCTTGCGCACCCCTGAGTCGGAATAAGGATGCGTTCAGGTGATGTTTTCGAGAGCTGTGCGGACCGTACTCACCAGCCTGACGTTCCTCTTCCTTGTCCTGCTTCTGAACGGACTGTCTCTTGAGCAGCGCCTGGAGTTGCTTCTGCTCCTTGGCAGACAGAGGCGCCTCGCCACCCGACACCTTGCTGGATTCTTGCTGCTTGGCTGACTTGTTGCTCTTTCGAGCTCGAGATCCCGATGCCTTCGTGCTCGGCTGAGCGGTGAGCTTCTTAGCGGTGGAGCGAGTGCGTGGAGACATGGTGCCAGCCCGAGTCAGAGATCGCAGTGATTGCCAGCACAGCGAGCGCGAGTAGAAGTACGGGGGAGTAAGAGTTGTGAAGTCACGACGCGGCGCGGAGCAAACGACCGCTGAGTTTCGGAAAGCTATTCCGCGCTGAGTTCCGCATGAGGTCACGGGAGTAAAACATTGGACGCGACTCGAATAAATCACCACAAGACCTTCATGTCTTTGAGTGAGCAGAATGCGTAGAATTTCACAGACCGTACGCATAGTTTAGCTACTCCAAGTCATTAGTTTGAGATTAGTGGAAATAAGCGTTGGAAGCCCAGCCGTTGTGATCGCTCTCTGTCCAACGTAACATCTCCCTATCCGTATGTAGCACAATTGAAGCCCGCCGTCCCTTGTAATGTAGATTAAAGTGCGTGAGTTTGCATGAAGGAAAAATCACAAAATGGCCGTGACGTAGCGGTATGACCAAGCCCGCTTCGTGCAGGCACAACTCGCCGCCCTCAAAATTGCCAACAGCAAGGACGACACAGACAGTGTCGTCCTTGCTGTCTCTGTGGGCGTAGGTTGCGACGTTGACGTTGATGACCAAACCCACAAACGGGTTGACCAGCGACTGCTGGTGGTTAGGGAGGATGCTGGCCGTTGCCTCGAGATGACGGTATACGCCTGGAAGAATCGTCTGGACCTACTCAGACAATATTAGCACGTTGACAATAATAGTACCGTACTGTACTGAGATTGAGCTTACCTTGGTGTCCATCCAGCTGAACACGTCGCCAAGAATACACTCCATTGCCTGATAGATGGGCTCATGGACCACCATATCCTTGGACGGATATGGTATCATTTGACGGTAGTTGGTCCTTGAGCGTCCGAACTTGCTCATCATTTGCGGCGGTACATCTGAAGGCGCGTCATGACCCTGTACAGAAGGCAATGTCAGTTGAGGTCAAGGTCAAACACAGTACGAGTATTCCAGACCTTCGTGGCGTGGCGGTTGTACCACGAGAAATGAATGGCTTGGAACTCGTGCTGTGTTTGTGTCGCAGTGTCCACGTCATTCAAAGGATCGGTATCGAAGCACACGACCAGCTGCTCTGTCAGATCGGCTGCCATAGCTTCCGACATTGAGGTGCAGACCGACGCTACGAGACCGTTGTTCGCGCCTCTGAATGTCAGCACGTCTCTGTGTGTCATACGTTGTGAGTAATTGCGGCATCGTCGGAGGTAGATACGACAATACGAGTACCACTGACCTTACAAGTTCGAGGGGTACTCGCACGTACAAGTCGTCCCTGATTCGCTTTCCTTCAGAGTACAAACCATCAAGCTGTAAAAGTAAAGTTTAACTCCATAATTGAGAAGTGATTCGCCTCGTACCTCACTCTGGAGACCCTCCAGGGTTGCAGGCCGAGCGGAGTTGGACGCATGTTGACGGGCTTGTTCTGTCCAGACAACGTTGTTGTCTCTGTCACCGCGCGGTCCCAGATAGCGCTGGTTATCCTCCTGCTGCTCGTCGTACTGGAGGCGAATCACTACTTCCTCGTGCGGCGGGACAGGGGATGACCTGAGCGGGGAGGAAATGACGACATCGTCTGGTAAGTCGAACTCTGGAGGGACGGGAGAGTCAATCGGTGTCAGCGGTGATAACGGCCCTAGTTCGTCTATCAAGGCATTTGTGAATGCGTTGCTGGTGTCGCACTCATCGTAGCACGATCTCCAGACGTCTCTGTTTCGTGGCACCAGAGAAAAGGAGCTATAAACGATTAGTGTGCCATAACGTGGGGGCAATATTGAACTTGACGCTCACTTCAATTTCCAGGATTCAAATACACAATCAGATGCGTCAAGATGGCCGCACAGATCAGGCGGAAAATGCGATCTTGACACTCCAGGTTGGGGAGCTGCCAGCAGGATACAGTCAAGACGAATCGGGCACAGTTCTCGCAGACGAGCTACTGCGGGGATTATGACATCTTTGACGAGCCGTCCGGTTCTTGAATCTGAGTCGGCTTAGAACAGTCAGATGTCAATAAGAAAATCAGCCTACCGTCAGGCCACCTCAGGAGATTACCGAAGTCTTGTGCGATGTGTGCGTTGGCGGTAGCCAGAGGTACTCGGAGATTCTGGGCTGCTACTAGCACCAGAAGATAGATAGAGCCTGGACATGAATTTTGAGATCAATATATATTTTGGGAACATGCATGCTAGATGTACCTCCTCCGGCGAGTCGCGCGAACTTCACGCCGGTAGTGTTCCAGTCCTGAAATGTCCTCTTCTCTGGGGCACCCTCGACGCCTTCAAATTCTCTCCGCCAAATTCCCGCCACGGTAAGTTTGCCTTCGTCAGATTTCCCGTTATCTAACTCAAGTATCCTAGTCATGCCAGCCATTCAACACTAGGAGATATTCAAAGGAAAAGCTACGTACCTTGCCACTCTAAAGGCGAGCCTTATGTGACTGATCATCAGCCAGAAGCTGGCGGCAGCATCCAGCTTCAGGCTGCAGGCGCATCTGGCTACCAGAGAGCGCAGTGATTCGTCCTGGCGAACCGGCGCCCCCTGCAGCTCCGTCACACTTGCCTGTACTGCTCTGCACACGTCAAGGAGCCTCCTGTGGCTGAGATCTGACGTGAGGAGGGATGTGTACTTATGCACAGCGGCCCCTGTGGTAAGAGCCGGTTCAGAGGTGTTTTCCCACTGCCGTGTCTGCGCTTCCTCGGACTCCGTCGCAGATTTATTGGCATCCATCGCAGAATTGATCGGGACGAACTGGATACCACCTCGGGGGCAAGGTGGGAGGCGATGCTGCGGTCGCTGACGTAGCAGTCTTCGAGCACGTTTGTGACCATCAGGCTTTTCAAGCCGGTTTGCTACGACAGTATTTGCCTCGAGCTGAGGGGCGTACGGGTGAGCTTCCTCGCGGGCACGACGAGAGGATCTTGTTTGCCGCTGGGGGCCACAAACAGTCCCATTAGAAAGAACTTGATCCCCTACAGTAATCATTGGACTCTGTCTAGCAAGCAATAAGGGTAGTACGTACCTTCCGACTCGTCCAGATTTTGGCAGTGAGTCTGGGCCTGAGCAAGCTCTGCGTTGTCAAGGTACTGTGACGTGTTCTCCTGACTCACTGTAAAAATTGATTGTTCAGCGAGAACGGTAGAACTGGCATTAAACTCACGCGCAACGTCAGCCAGCCTGTCAAGACTTGACCGTCTTTCCTGACAGTCAGTCAGGTGTTCAGCAAGCTGTGCAGTGGGTTGCTGGTCTTGAAGTCTTCGTAGCAGAGACGTGAGATTCTCGTTGAGACTAGGGGTGCGTGACAACAACTCCTCTAGATCCCTTTGTTCTTCCGGAGTGAGCTGCATAACGGACGGACAGAGGAACATTAAGGCGTCAACTACATCCACTGCGGTCTGCCGAGGTAAGCCACCGGACGACGGCTGTCCTAATTTAGGCGGGCCAGCGAATTAGCACCTTGGCGTGCAAGTGCCCCCTGGGCTCAGACAGTGCAGGATGGCATGTAGTCTCAAGAATCTCCATATATTATGAATGTGCGAAGGACGGGGCTGAAGGAGCGAGAGTAGAGATGAGAGAGTAGCTAAAATTACAATTACACCGATGCGACGAGCAGCAATGCACAGCGAATACGATTGCGCAGCGAATACGACGTGCAGCAACGAGCAGCGAACACAACGGGCAGCGAATAAGCGAATATGACGGGCAGCGAATACGACGTACGACGGGCAGCGAATACGATGAGCGGCGAACACAACGAGCAGCGAGCAGCGAACACAGCGAATACAATGAGCAAACGGGACGACAACATGAGGATGAGCCAACTGCCAGGATCTATGTTCTTCAGCGGCGAGTAGTACGCTCATTCAGAACCAGTGCTGGCCTGTGAGTCAGCGTCAAGCTGTGAGGAGTTCGATTCACCCTGCGACAATGATTCCGCGTCATTCTCATCCTGCGACGATTCATCGGCATCCTGGGATGAGTCGTCGGCATCCTGCGACGATTCGTCGTCATCCTGCGACGAGTCGTTACCCCGCGACGACCCCTGCTGCGACGACCCCTGCTGCGACCCCTGAGACGACTCGCCGTAGTTGCTGTCTTGAGAGTAATGGCCGTCGTCCACGTCGGGATTGAACGACAGATCACGGAGGGGGTCACTCGGTATCGGGTCGCTCGAGCCGTCAGCAGAGCCCAGGTAGTCGGAGTCCGTCAAAGAACTTTTCTTGTCGACGAGCGCGGTGTCGAGGTGACGCCGTTTGAGAGCCCTTCTAGCCCGTCCAATGTCACCCTCGTCAAGGGCCCTCTTGAGAGACGCCCCTGCCTTGAACGCCTCTTTCCGGCTTCCGACAATTCCGTCGAACGAGTACTGGGTAGTCGCGTTCGTGGCCTTGGCGTACCGTTCCTCCGCCAATCGCCAGCTCCCGGAGCCGACCAGGGCCCTAACTACTCCCACCGGGCTCTTGATGGGCGGCAGGCTGAGGTCAGGTAGCTTGTCGATCTTCTCCTCGAACGCCACGAGTTCCACGGGGGTGCATTGGCTTGACTTTGCGATGATGAGGTTGTGGAGGACCTTGTGTCGTACAGACAGCATACACTCTCGCCATCTCGCTTCCCACTGCCTGAGCGCCTGCTTCTGCTCATCAGTGGCGTACCTCCTGCGAAGAAGCTGGTGCAAGTAAGCACTTTTCGTCTGAGAAGGGACTATGAGCACTTACTAGGGCCTTCCCGCTTCTAACCCACTCCTCCAGGTCGTCCTTCCAGTGCTTCGCGAGGTACGTGTGGTCCTCTGCGCCCTGTAAAACCCACATGTACGCACGTATTTCCCCTACGTATATCCTACCTCCGTAAGCGATGCCTCCCGTGATGCAGTCGTCATCCGGGCAGGGTAATTCGACCCAGTCTTGTTTGTTGATGTCCACACCGGGGGGAGCTTTCTTGACGGCCTTCTCCTGCGTGGAGACGACCACGAAGACAACGGACGAGATCTTCTGGCCTCGCTGGGGGGGGAGAGGCGCCACGGGGGGTGGCAGGGGAGGGGGAGATGGAAAGGATGCGTCGGAGAGGGGCGATAGGGGCGAGGACACGTCCGGTAGAGGAGTGAGAGGAGAGGACGGTTCCTCGCCTGCGTGCTCCGTCTCAGGGCCTGCCGGCGTCTGTGTCCCGTCGTCGTCCCCGTCCTCCGTCTGAGTCTGTGTCCCGTCATCGTCATCCGTCTGCATCTGCGTCCCGTCTTCATCGTCCGTCTGTGTCTGCATCCCGTCCTCCGTCTCTTCACCTTCCGATCCCGCCACCGATGCCATCTGACGCACGTAGGTGTGTTCCGCCACGCTTTCCGAGGTATCGGACGCCGTCATGTTGTCTGTGACCTGCAGGCTGGTTAGACGGTAGGGTTACCGGTGGAGATGAAGCTCACCTTTGCAAGCACATGCGGTGCGCTTTGTGTTCTCGCCGACTCAATGAGTACGCAGTCACTGTTCAGGTTGATGCAGAGCTTGTTCTTTTTCGCCTGGTTGAAGAGTCCTACCATGCAGTCAGGGACCTCTATGTGGTCCTCCCTAACTAGCAGCCTTGCGCCGTTCTGCGTCACCAACGTCCCAGGTACGCGCACCTGATCAACCACCGGCTTGATGATGTCCTCGACTACGGTGCTGGCGCATCCCAGCACGACGTCTTGATGCAGACCGCTTGCAGAACCGGCCACAACGGTCGCCATCTTACGGTCGTAACGGAACCTAGAGTATCAGGATTGTAGTGAGAATGACATACACGATAGCGTACATGTAACTCACCAAAAATGACGCAGAATCTCAGGTTTGTCTCGCAATTTTGAGCGAAGAAGATCCCAATCTTCCGGCTGGAAATTGGGAGTCTGAAAATCGTCAGCTAGGTACGGTTGGTGTCACCGTACGCAAGTACCTCTATTAAAACGTCGGGCAACGCCGGGAAGTCCCTGTCTTCCAAGAGGTTGCCGAATATTCGTCTGGCAAAAGGCCAGCGCTGCACAGCCTCCACGTAGTCCTCGTCGTCGACACTGGTGGGGGGAGAGGACGGCGGTGCTAGAGGAGGTCATGAGTTAGTACAACGAGAAGATAAGTAGAATCACACTTACCTAAGTCGCTGAAGTTCCAGGTATGATTCAAGTTCGTCGGTGACACGCTAGACGAGTACTTGTCGGAGAGGTGGCGACTGTCCCCAAGTTGGACCAGTCGTCGATAGTGAGGTCCCTGAAGCTGCCTAGGGGCTGGAAGGTAGGAGAGTGAGGGGGAGGCATGAGGACAGAAGCACGAGAGACCCTGCAGCACGAGGGATAGGGCATGGGAAGGAGAATCACTACTATTAAACCTCGCGTCAAGTGACCGGAGTTGAACGGGACTGTCGGGACGGGCAGATAGGTATTCCGACACGTACTTTGGCTGCCGAGGCACTCCTCCAGGACCGCGCAGACCAGTACTCAGTATCTTAACCACCCATACTGTATACCGTCTGCGCCGGCGCCCACAAGACCCACCGAATCTCAAGGGTCAGGGCCGGCCCTGAGTGTTAAGTCTGTTAAGTCCCCGTTGCCTTATCGGGGCGCGCGGTCAGGCCGTGCGCCCCGATAAGGAAGTCTCCTAGCTCGGAACGCCCCGAAGGCAAAGCGGGCGCAGAGGTTGGGTGGACGGGAACAGGTAAGAGAAGAGCACTCACCTTTGTAAACACTACTTGACGTCGCTCAAACAGGTTCACAAGCCGTAGCACAGCAATTTACTGGAATCAAGCAGATCTTATTAACGTAACCAGACGGACCGACAAACTGAACAACTTACTGGGTAGGTATAGTGAGAGAGCACCAGTAAGAGTATGTGTGTTGCGTGCAAAGTGCGTGAGCCGCTCGAGAAGCGCGCTGGACAGCCAGATCCGCGGGAGCCATCAATCTCGCGCTGTCAGTGCGGACTTGCCGCCAAGGCAGGGAAGTCCCGCGACAACGTAACGTAACGGTGCGCAGGGTCGGCGCGCAGGGTCGGTGGCCATGAAGCGTCGTGTCCTGCAGTAACCTTCTGAGTCATTTCCTGAGAGACACCGACTTTGAAGAATTTTGCTGTGGCTTCAGTGTCGTTCGGTGAGTTTTTGAAGCTTGTCTGGCTGAGAATCACGTACTGAAAGACCGTAGAGACTCATAAGACATGGTAAAGCGATCAAGACACTTGTACGCCGTGCTGGCAGAGACATGCGACGCATGCGGCGGTGGGTTCAACACCGTGCAAGGGCTAATGGCTCACCAATCTACGAGCCGGGAATGCGCCTGGTATAAGAAGGGAAAACTGAGGGAGTGTCTTCAGGAAACGGACATAATGGACTCCTCAGATGAGGAGGCTGAGGCTGGCGACGCCGTGAACAGGTGAGATTCCATAATTCTGGCAGCACTTCATTATAATTTCTGACGATACGTACAGAGATGCAGATGCGGATAGCAGTGAAGAGTCCGAGGAAGAGGATGAGCGAGACCAAAGTACCAATTCATTCCGTTACCTGATCCCAGCCAGCCTGTAGCATCGACATCGTCAGCACCGGCGCCCGCTCGACGTACCGCCCTTTCGCTTGACGAAGACGACGACGAAAGGGTAGAGGATATCGATAGGAGTGCTGGAAAGGTTATAGGGACTGCAGAAACAATAAGAGAGTCGTGGAGAGAGCATTTCAATAGCTTGGGAGGGCAGGGACACAGTGAGTTTCGACTTATTCTGCACCGTGCTAACCTGACAAATCAATATTAGGCGATGAAGATGTACTAGCATGGGTCAACGCAGTGTGGGCCCCGTTCGAGTCCGAGATGGACTGGCAGATCGCGAAGTGGTTCGTCAAGGAAGGGATCGGGCAGGGCGCGGTAGACCGCTTTCTACGAATACCAGAAGTAAGTGCAGTTCCATCGGGTTGGTTAGATAAATGAATTAAATAACAGGTGCAAGAGAGGCTCGGACTCACATATCACAACAACCGAGCCTTGCTTCAGAAGGTCGACTCCATCCCTGAGAGGTCGTCCTGGAAGGAATGCTGGCTGACCTTCAAGGATCGTCCGGGCGAACGCCATTTGGTGCAATACCGCGACATCATCGAGGCAATCAAGGCTTTGTTAGGAAACCCGGCTCATGCGAATCGAATCGTGTATCGACCTAGCCGTATCTTCTCAAACTCTGCGCGCACTAACCGGATTTACACGGAGATGTGGACCGGTCAATGGTGGCACGCAATCCAGGTAAGCACTACCAACACATAAATCCTACGGGGTGCTGAAGAAGATTCTAGAGTATCTTACCGGCAGGCGCTGCGGTCGCGCCAGTCATTATCTCGACTGACAAGACACAACTCACACAGTTCTCTGGGAACAAATCCGCCTACCCTGTTTACATGACCCTGGGCAACATCCCCAAGGAGCTTCGTCGTAAGCCTTCCGAACATGCCTGCATACTCATCAGGTACCTTTCCGTGGATAAGGTCGACTCCGCCGGCATCACCGAGAACAAGCGGAGAGCGTTGGTCCAACAGCTCTTCCACGCTTCGGTGCGCACCATCCTCCAGCCTCTCGTGACGCAGGCAAGGAGGGAATTGACGTGACGGGTGGCGACGGAAATGTGCGCAGGGTTCATCCGATCCTGGCGTCTTACGTCGCGGACTACCCGGAGCAGTGCTTGGTCAGTTGTACCAAGTACGGGACTTGCCCCATCTGCCAGTGCCCGGAGAGCGGCCTTGGGGAGCGTCTGCGAAGACGCCTCGCGCCCAGCTCTGGACCCTGGACGTGCTACGGAAAGCTCGTCAGCAAGGCGAGAGAGGCTCCACAGCCTTCTCCAAGTCTTGCAAGGAGTACAACGTCTCTGGTTACTGCGTCAAACCTTTCTGGAGGGACCTACCATACACCGACATCCACTCCTGCATCACGCCTGACGTCCTTCACCAGCTCTATCAAGGCGTATTCAAGCATATAGTGGAGTGGTCCACCGAACTCATCGGAGAGAAGGAACTCGACCGTCGCATCCGCTGCCTCCCTCCGGCGTACGGCACCCGTCATTTCAAGACCGGGATATCCGCCCTCTCTCAGGTTTCCGGTAGCGAGCGGAAGGACATCGCACGCATTCTCCTCGGATGCCTCGTTGGCCGTATACCCAGGGCTGCAATGCTCACCTTCCGTTCGCTGCTCGATTTCATATACCTTTCCCAGTATCCCACTCACGACGAGTCTACCCTCGGATACATGGAAGACGCCCTCAAAATGTTCCACGACAACAAGCATATACTGGAGGAACTCGGCGTTCGGGAGCACCTGAACATACCGAAAGTCCATTCCCTTCTACACTACGTAGATTCTATCCGCAGGCTCGGCACGACCGACAACTTCAACACCGAGATGTTTGAGTGGTTGCACATTGATTGTGCGAAGAAGGCGTGGAGAGCCTCGAACCACCGCAACGCTCGCCCGCAGATGATCAAGTGGCTCGACAGGAGGGAGAAGGTTTCTATGTACGACACCCTTCGCGGCAGACTTAGTACGGACCAGTCTGCAGACCCGCAAGCAGTGTCTGCCTCGGAGAGTACTACTGGCACCACAAACTCTGAAGACGACAGTACGCACCTCCCTCGCAGCAGCAAAACACGCGTCAAATTAGCCAAACATCCGTCGTTAGCTCGACAATCCTTACCTTCCATCGAGGAACGACACGCGGCACCGGGCTTCACCGACGCCGTCTCGCAGTACGTCTATACTATGAAACTACAGCGCAGACTCCGCCCTAGAGAGCAGGACCGGGCGAACCGTCACCTACCATTCGGCCGAGTGGACGTCTTCCACGGGTTCAAGTTCAACAACATTCCACTCAACGACAACGCCGAAGAGAAGGATGGCGTCAAGGCCAGGCCTTCTTCAGCAGACAAGCCAGCAAGATTCGATACTGTTGTCGTATTGCGCGGCGACGAGGCTGAAGCCACAGGATTACAAGGTAGGACTCACTAGTATTCTGACCGCCGTAGAACCCTAACTAACAGTTGTACAATACAGGGACTCGCGTCGGAAGACTGAGAGTTATTTTTCAGCTTCCCAAAACCATACGCGATCCTACCACAAACCTGGATATGGAAGCACCGGAGGAGTGGGCCCAGGAGGGGCCTTTAGCCTACGTGGAGTGGTACGGGAAGCTGGGTTCAACGGCAAACCCAGTACACATGATGTACGACGTGAACAAGCTTCCTCTGCCATCCAACGGCAAACCACAAGGAGACGTCGTACCCTTGAGTTCCATTCGCCAATCGTGCCAGTTAATTCCCCGCTTCCCCAGCCCATCGTCATCGGATTCCCTCGAGCGTTCAGTTCCTGATGACTGGAAATCAGACACGGTTCTTGACTGCGCCTCAAAATTCGTATTGAACAACTGGTCTAGTAAGTATGCTTACCAGACTATATGGTGATACGGTTTCTGTGGAAAGGAAATACGAGGCGGCACAGCAACGTAGTTTATTGAACGAACTACTTGGAAATAATACATACGCGGCGCGAGCCCGAACTAGTGTGGTTGTACAACGATGCGCGGGCACAAGAAGGCGGACGGGTGGTAAAAGTTGACTGACGGCCCACTGACAGTGACAGGTGAGGTCATGCATGCGATCGAGATCTAGATCTGACCGCTCAACTCGACCGGAGGAGTGCCGCATCCTCTGTCTCCTGCACACATCGACGTGAACCTCTGACACCGGTGCGTCACCATTTTCTTCTATGCTTCTGGGCTTTCTACATGACTTACACTAGATATGCCTGGGCTCACCCCCAGCCTGCTGACGACGACGTTCAGTATGTTGGCTTCTTCCGCGCCGACGTCAATAAGAGCAAGGTGCATAGCACCAAGCTCGAAGAAGACGGTCTAGTATATTGCGGATACAAGAACACGATGGATTTTTCACACTTCCCTCCTCCCCCCATCCAGCGACGTGCCGCATGTCGCGTCGTCATTGAGGTGCCGTCGGACAGCGAAGACGATGAGGCGCGTAGTAACGGGGCGTCCAGTTCGAGCACGGTCACGGTGAGTACTGAGTATTCGCAAAGGACCATCTTCTAACACCTTACAGCCTACCGTCGCAAAACGCGCCGCTCCGGCAGACGACCCTGTCCCTCGTACCAGCAAGCGGTGCAAGAAGGACAAGGAGGACGGTGGGCGGGTGAGCGACGCCCGGAAAGAGAAAGCGAAGCAGAGGGCAGGCAAGGCGGAGGGCAAAGGGGACAGTGGGCGGCCAGCACGTCCCACTGCAGGGAAGTCGAAAAGTCGCAGGCGGGGAGCGCAGCCTAGGTAGAGTGTAGGCAACGTTGAGTAACCAATCTATTCGTATGCCCTCTCCTTCATGCCCACACACCCTCATCGGTCTGCCCGCTCGCTTGCCCCTCGCTCTGACTCTGCCGCCCTTGCCTGATGTCCCTCTCGCCCTGTCTGCCCTCTGTCTCGCCGTCATCTCACTCGCCGTCTGTCTCTCTCGCCCTCTCACTCGCCCTCTCGGTCGCCCTTCGGCTCGGTCGCGTGCCGTCCACATACTTATACTTCCACTAGCACCGGGCACACCGGCGTCCCTGGTACCCACGGTCCCATTGCGCAGTACCACGAACACTCAGGTACTATTCCGCCATCAAGCCCTGGCCGAACAAGATCGTGGAGAACGGCCTGCCGATTGAGATGCCGGTGTACAAGGAGTCTCTGGAAACTGTCTTGTGAGTTCCCATTCGGGCTTATGAGCTGTGCGATTGTTGACCGCGATGCAGACGTATGCCCGGCAAGGTGATGCGTCCATGATACTCGTCAACGACGATGGTCTCAGGGTGAGTTCCGACGTACGCTTGCTGTGCGGGTCGCTGATGCCTGCGTGACAGTTGCTCTCGGTCGAGGAGCGTGACACACGCATAGCATTCTACGCCAACCACGGCATTGGCTGGGTCGCGCGGCCGAAGCTTGATGATGCGCCGGACGGGTTCCAGCGTGCGGG